GGGGTTAGTTGTGGATTTTCTCCCTTATTTGGTCATGTTGGAAAAAGAGATTCAGATTACTATCCATATGCAATCACATGGGAAAATCTACCAATGGTTGGCTAGCTCTTATTGGGGGGTGTGGGGGGGGGGGGGGTTTCAAATTGCATTTAATTTGAAGCATGAGGGTTCTTGATTATGGGATCTATAGATTTCTCATTGTGAATTGCTTATGTATGTTGGACAAAATCATTTCATTAGGATGTGTTGTGTTAACAAATTTAACTATATATATATGTTAAAATTATTATTAATAAGTACAAATAATAGATTTCGAACCCAACAAAATCAAATAAGTTATGATAAAATTCTAACTCAAGCCCATAATGTTCGAATCTTGAATCCGGCTCTGTCAGTTGTAATATCTATACATTAAATGAAGTTTGCCAAGAAGACAAAAAAGGTACCCAAAAGAATTTTAAAAAGAGAAAATGGATTATAGTTTTAGCAGGAGTGGCGTTCGCTTGAGAAGGAAGAAAGTGTTGGCATTGTCACAACATATGGAACCAGCTGCAGTTTTGACAATGTCTTGTCGGACAGGATAGCCATGGGTTCTTTTAATTGTGAACATTATGTTTTCTTAAAATTAAGGTGCAACTCAATGTCCATACCGTATTGTATCCTGTATCATAGTACTATTTTAAATTATGGAAAATACTTGGTAGGGAATGCTTCCTTCCGAACGGGGCCCTACACGGCGCGAATCTTGATGTAGTCAGGCTCTAATGCGGGTACCGGACACCGAGCGCCGGGTGGGAAACCAAAAAAAATATAGTATTTTGAATTACAACTTGTCCAACCTTCCCTCAACTGCAAAAATAACAAGATCAACAATATACTATGTCAAAAATCGCCCAAAGTAGTGCATTCTCCTTGTTTATTTATAGTGTTAATGTTAAAGAGGAAATAAATTAAATGATATATTCATTTTGAAATGTTGAATATGGACTTCCACGCTGATGATTAAGTAGAGGAAAATAAGGGGTGTACATGGACCGGGTTGGTTCGTTTTTTATCAAAACCAAATCAAACCAACTATATCGGATTGGATTGGATTGGTTCGGCTTTGTCGGATTTTTCGAGTTTTTTATTACTTAAATATTATTTCAATCTTACTTTGTTAAATTTTTTATAAGTAAATATATGTTTAGTAAAAATATAAAACGTTGACAAATATATTATCTATTAAAATATTCTTATGAGAGAATTTTCTTAGTAACACATAATAGTTATTTTTTAGTCGTCCGACAATAATGTTTCTTTGATGTACACTTTCAAGGTTAACCAAATTTAGTAATTAAACATAAAAATCAGCATGACACCTAATAATAATAATCACTTCACATTCGAAAAAGTTATAACAATTTAGTAGATCTTAACAAATGATATGAATATGGAAGAACAAAGAGATTGACACTTGATGGGAAAGTGATCATACAACCCATTATTTCAGGTTAATAAATGTGGAGCGCTTCATATACTATTAAATATTATATCCCGCAAGATAATCCCAAATATTTCTAGATATTTTTTAAAGAAAATTCTACATAAAATCTTGAAAGTATATATAAAAATTATATATTTATATGTCGGTTTGGTTCGGGTTTTTTTACTCAATACCAAACCAAACCTAGTCGGGTTTTTTAGTCGGTTTGGTTTGACTTTATGGTTTGGTGCGGTTTTCCGGTTCGGTTTGTACACCCCTAGGAAATATATATATGAACTTACACGCAGGGTATAAATAATTGAGGAGGAAATTTTTTAATCATGGGTACAAAAATTAGCAGTTATAAGTGACTAATACGATTGAAATAGGAAGTAAGTAAAGTGGATAGGGTCAAAATAGTTTAGGTTGATACTATTACAAGTTCGAATAGATACTAAAAAAGCTTTGGTCTATGAGGAACATAGCTTAGTAGGTATTTGGTAGGTTTGGTTGAGCTTCATGAGCAAATTAAATCCCACATGGTAAATAATGACGGATCTAGAGTATAATATATAGATCACGAGAACCAGTAATTTTGTACAGACTATCTGTATACATATTAAGAAATCTGCTAAATACTTATGAAATTTGACTTTAACCAAGTAAGTTATTATTACTATATGTTAACTTGAAGTTATTTAGAAAAATATATACTTCATTTCTTGGATAGTACTGACATAATTTTTACATGTAAAAATGTATGAAGGACCAGTTCACCTTTATGTGAAGGAAAAAAAAGGATATCATTTTATTTTCCAGGATAAATGTCATGTCATAATCTTTGACATAAGTTGCGGAAGTCGAAAATCATTGCATTTTCCATATTAAACATGTTGAAGCATTTACTCCATGTAAAAGAATCAGAATCCAAACAAAGTGGACTTCAAGTGCCTAACCTATGGCCAGGAGAGACTTAAAAATAATCCAAAAGATGAGGGGGAAAAGGTTGTTGCAACTTTAACCAATTTTTATTTTTGGTGAAAAAGAAAAAAAGTGCAACTTATTCTTTTGGTTATCAATTGGTGGTGAAACTTCCAACTTTTTTTTTTTATTTACCACGCGTTGTTTAGTATTCATATCGAGATCCAACTAAATTCAAATTTACGTCGGAAAATGCCACATTCAAGGATAAAACGCTCCTTAACAAAGATGACTTTGTATCCAGCCCCGAATCCGAGACCGAAACTTTCAATGTTATGTAACTCCAAAGCAATATGATCAAAACCAAGGAGTCATCAGATTTATTTTATAAAAGGCAACAAAGAATATGTGAAGTAGGATTTAGAAGAAAATTTCCACTAGTACCTTGTAAGTATCATAGTAGGGAAACTTTAGGTTTACATTGTGAATCAAATTAAAGAGCCGCCATACGAGTTGGCTGCTGTATTAAAAGCATAGAGGATAAGGTTCATATGAATCGGTTTGGTATAAGAGAAAAATAGACTACTAGGTATTTGGGAGCTATGTTTGAGCTTAAGAAAATCACACATGGTTAATTAATTTGACATAACTTCTACATGTAAAAAACTAGGAAGGACTTATATACCTTTTTATTTAGTTAGATGCATCTTAAATTCCAGGTAAAAGTCATGTTCATGTCATGTCACAATCTTGGAACATAAGAGTACAGTTGAAAAACTAACAAGAACCCTAACAAAGTCATGACTTTGAGACGAGAGGCGGATACATAATTTAAATTCTATGCGTTCAAACCAATTATATTTTTAAAGTTATGGATTCATATCTACTACTGTATGTTATAATTTTAGTATCTTTTTACACATAAATTTATACTCTACACTAAAAGTACCGGGTTCAGTTGAACCGGGTACCAAAGGCTGGATCCACCCATGTTTGAGAGTTGAGACCTATACATGTTGTATAGAGAATATATACGAGAGTTCTAGTTACGGATTCGACAGAGTTAGTAGTTTTAGGTGTCGTCCAAAGAACTTCCACTTATTATATAGTTAATTGACAAATTAATTTAACATGTATAAATAATTTATTCAAAAATTCAATAAGGTGACTTTTTTGGAATTTAGAATTCAGAATTCATAAACTCAAAATTTTGGATCCGAGGTTATGTGACTAGTTGGCAGCATGGTAGTAGTAAAGTTTCACTGCTCATTCACATTATCCATGTATTGACTTTTAGATATTAATAAAAGCCAACCTGAAACATGGAATCCTGTTTGCTCAAAAGTTATCACATATCTTATGAGTATAAAATAATATAAATAAATCACGGGAAAATCATAGCAAACCGTAATAATCCGTTGGACCAAATGAAGGAAACGAAGATAAGTACTCAGGGTTAGGGGGAGAAACATTAGAAGCCTTTATTGATAATATTGGTTTGGTCTGCCTCTCCTTGAAGAGGTTCAGAGCCTTACAATGGTGTTCTCCTCTCTCATAATATGTATATCGTTATATCTTTCTCTCTCTCTTGAATAGTAAAGAAGAAGAAGCCCCCCCTTTCTAGGGTTTCCTCTCTTGGTATTTATAGCTGTGAGCTTCGTGAGCTGGCAATAAGTGGCTGTGACCATGTTGGGATTTCGCCTTCATGGTGGCGGATAGGCCATGGCCTTGCTGATAGAATCAGATGCGGGCTGAATATCGTTAATTCTGAGTGGTCGTGCCACTAATTAATCATGAATTAGCTTAAGACGGGATTAGCTTCGTTAATTATCGTGGGGTCGGATTCTGACCCATACAGTTAGTCCCTCCGCTTATTGAGGTCGGGCCTTGGCCGAGCTCGATGAGTGGATTCCATCGACTGTAGTTTGGGAAACTCGGATAGGGAGGTCGACTGTTGCTTCGGTCGAGGCCGAATTCTCTTTGGCGATGGCCCTTAGCCTTGTAGAGTATTAGTATTTTGTTATTGTGCTATCAAGTCATCGTTCGATCGAGGTCGAACTCTTCTCCTTGGCGAAGGCGCTCGACCTTTTAACTCACTTCGGGTGAGGTCGAGCTTCATTGTACTCTGATCCTTACGTTTGTTTTGGGTGCATACCCGTCGACCATGGTGGACGGGTCGTATGTTGTGCGGCCGAGGGGAGTGAGGGCACGCTTGATACGTGTTTGGCGATGTCAAAAAATTTCTAGGGCGCAAGGAACATCTCCTCGGCATTCATAGGTCGTTATAACCATTTCGAGGGCGAGACACCGATTGGTGATTGCAAGGCTGCTTTATGGAGCCTGTCATAATGACGCACATTCCTATGGAATCGAACCGGTGTGCGGTTGGTCGTGCAGTTAATGGTGGCTGTTGGGGTGCATGAAGGCCACTTGTGTTGCCTATAAATAAAGGCTGAGGCATTCATTTTTTATATTCTCATTGTTTGTCTGAGAGAGATTCTGAAGAAGCTTTTCTTACTGCTGTTTCACCTTCGTCTTCGTCCCCCAAACTTTGTTTCTTTCTCGTTATTGTATCAGCAATGGCAGGCATTTCTTCCCAAAACGTTCTTCCGATGGATTTTCCGGTTAACTCACCGGTGACCGAGGGGCCATTTCCGACAATGGGCGATGCAGAACTGGTGGAGACCGGTGAAGCTCCGTCGGTTGACGAGATAGTACCTCTGCCCGGAGGTCCGATGACTTATTTCACCGCTGATGGCGGGGAGGATCAGGTGGATGAAGCCCCATTAATGGGGGAGATTGGGATGTCCCGACTTCGGGGACAGGGGGTCATCCCCGGCTATGCTGATGTCATTCTCGCTAGAAGCGAGGAGAGGGTCCACACCGACCGTAGGGGATACTGCGTCTTTTACGCCTATCCCTTCAAGTTGGGGTTTAAGCTCCCGCTCCCAATGCTGGTGGTTGATTTCTGTCGTTATTACGGGGTATGCCCGGGTCAGCTTACTCCTTCTCTTTGTAAATTATTAGCAATGCTCATCAAATACACAGAATTGGCTGGTAGGGAGGTCATGATGCAACATGTGCTTAGCCTCTACGCTCCTCAGAGAGTTCGTGGTACCATGATTCGAGCGTGCCCTCGCGGGACGAGGGGCCTGACTGCGAAGCTGGATGATGAGGTCGAACCTCGCCCTTTCGAGCACTTCTTCTACATCAGGACTGAACATTTAGTGGCGTGCTCTACTGGATTCCCAGAGGCTTGGAATCATGCACGTAAGTTCCTTAGTCATTGAATTCCCTTTTTTGCCCCTCCTTACGTCTTGTGCTCATAAACGTTAACTCGTATCAATTTTGTAGCCGAAAAGTCGCCGCCGGCTCCGTTGGCTGGGATTCGTGAGTGGGTTGAGGCCGTGCTCCCCCATACGGTGGGGATACGCACATGGGCGTCTTTTTGGGAGAGGCATGGCCGTAGACCTGTGGCAGGTAAAAAATTGATTTCTTCTTCTGTTCCGCTTTGTTTCGACTCTATTCACCAACTTTGTTTTTCTGTGATCAGGGAGGGCACGCCGCGTCAGGGCCCCTCAGTTGGCCTTCCGTCGGCCGGGTGCAATCGCCTCAACTCACTGCGGCGCGGTGTCGCGCTCAATATCGAGGGCGGCATCAGTTGAATCTTCAGCGGTTTCCTTTCCAGCACGGGCCGCACTTTCGGGACGAGGGGCCATCGGGGTTGTGCTCCTAGGGCGGAATCACCATCAGACGGGGAAGAGGAGAGGCTATTGATAAGGCGTAGGGTCGTGTTCACGCCGGCTCCCCTGTGGTAATCAATTTGGACTCTCCTCCGACGGATGCGGAGAGGGGTCGGTCGCGGCGCCTGTCTTGAGGGTGAACAGTCAATGGGGGTTGCCCCGGCTGGCTTAGGCCACATGATGATTCCGTTGCTTCGGCGACCTGTTGGAGGTTCCAGTCGCTGAGACGGGAGGTAGTTCCTCAGCGCTGCTAAGGTTGGTGAGGCAAGCGCTCCTTCGGTGGCTACGGCGGGGGTTCTACCTCGCTGGTGGCGGGAAGGAGGAAGGGATGTTGTAGGGATGAATACGAGTCCGAATCCGACTTGGACCCTGACGAACGTCCGTTAATGTTCCAAGAAAGGCTTCACCAATTCAGCGGTGCGCGCAGAGGGGCAATCTCGCTTCATCGAGGTTCCCACGGAGTTGAACTTATTGCGGTCCAAGGGGAAAGCTTGGTGCCGCAGTTTGAGCTCTATGCTCGGAGGCCGAGAATGCATCGTTGAGGGGCGTTACGGATGTCGGACTGGTGAATGAAGTGGCCGTGATGGGCTTGAGGGTATGCACTATAACGTCGGTTCGCTTCTTCTTTGGCCTTTAGTTTGTTCTTTTTCTTAATCATTGTCTTTGCTTTGCAGTCTATTTGTTGGAGGTGGAGAGCATCCGTCGAGCCAACGTCCGTTCGGGGATATTTTTGCGGCGCTGGAGAAGTACCACCGCTACCGAGATCGGTGCCGCGAGATGCCGCGTGCGCTGAGGAATGATCCCCGTAGTCGGACCTTGGTCCGAGGAACTGGCGAGGTGGGAGGTACAGATGCAGCAAGCACTTGGCAGAGCGAGTGCTCTCAAGGAGCAGCTCCGGCGGAAGGATGAGGAGCTTGAGCAGGGAGAAGGGCTGCAGCTGAGTGTGAGCGCCAGGGCCAGGCTAAGGCGCGGAGGCCGCTGCGGCATGGAGGCGGGAAAGTGACTGCGTTGGAGGGTGAAGTCCGCGGGTATTGAAGCTTCAGGTGAGGGATGCCTCGTCGAGGGTGGGGCGTTGACGGAAAGCTATCCGCGTGCACAGAGTCCCAACGGGCGTTGGAGAGGGTACTGCGGCCTTTAGAGAAAGCGAGTCTCGAGGAGCGGATCGGTGTCTTTGAGCAGGACGCCCAAAGTCATGGTGGACGAATCACAGGCCTTAGAAAAAGAGAATCAGCACCTACGGGATCAAGCCGCTTCTTCCAGCCCAGGCTCGAGAACTTTGGGTCTTGGCCGAGGCCCAACGTGATGTATATAAGATTTGTTGGGAGGCACCGACGTCGTGGCCGAAGCTGCTTTCGAGGGGGCGCGCATGCAAAAGGCTTCGTAAGGCCCGTGCCGACTGTGTTTTGAACGCGGGCGATGCCAGAAGGCTGACGCCTGGTGCAGATGGTTGGCAAGATGCGTCCACAGTAAAAAGATTTATGCATTTTTTCTTCTCTTTTTCTCTTTCATTGTATTGACGGCCCTTAGCCGGGTGTAAGCGGGGAGACCCGCAATTAAATTTCGTGGATACAATGAGATTCTCCGTTTTCGTTATTTGCCTTGTATCTATTTTGTTTACGCTCCTCTTTTCTCCTTTAAGATTTTCTTTGCATGCGCTCGCAGGGGTGAATTTTGCCTTCGAGTTCGACTCTGGCAGGCATGTTAGTTTTATTGCTGACAGACTCTTCTTCTATCGACTCGGGGTTGAGCGAGTTTGAAGTCGTTGCTTGGCGATGAGGCAGGCTTAGCTAGACCCATTCGGGCGCGGTGAACTGTCGGCCGTCATAATAGAAACGCACGGCTTGTAGTTTTGATCGGGGCCGGACTTTACGTGTCCCAATCTTAAGTTTGAGTTGGGAGTACTTACTTGAAGGGGGTGGGCGCCTAACCTGCGCCTCGATTCCTCGTTGAGTTGGGTTTCGCTGAGTTCAATGATGAAGGCGCTTTGGGTCCGAGCCTGTTCAACTGTGGTTTGAACTTGTTAGATTTGAAGGACGAAGGCGTCTAGCTTTTATGGTTCAAGCGAGGTCGAACTGGTTTGGGTTGATGCGAAGGCGCGGTAGCCCGAGTCCTTGGTTCGACCGTAGCTAAACTTACTGGGCGAAAGGCGCATGGGTTGATACAATTTGGAGGAGGTAGCCTAGATCGTGGTTCAACTGTATTTGAAACTTCTTGGCGAAAGGCAATATAGCCTTGATTTAATGGCGAAGGCGCAAGCCTGATGGTCCCAGTATCAACTGTTGTTGATCTTTAGTCGCATTTTGGTTGGCGAAAGGCATCATGGCCTGAGTCCCAGTTCAAACTGTTGTTGAACCGGTCGATTTTGATGGCGA